CGCTGCAGCAGTGCTGAAGAGTAAAGATGTGTGTCCAATGGCTGTCACCCCACTGTCACTTTTTTTTAAAGATTGATTTATTTGAAAGGCAGAATTACAGAGGGAGAGGCAGAGAGAGAATCTCCCGTCTGCTGGTTCACCCCCCAAATAGCCACAGTGGCTGAAGCTGGGCTGATATGAAACCAGGAGCCAGGACCCAGGAGCTTCTTCCGGGTCTCCCACGTGGGTGCAGGGGCCCAAGCACTTGGGTCATCTTCTGCTGCTTTCCCAGGCACAGTAGCAGGGAGCTGGATCAGAAGTGGAGCAGCCAGGACCCGAAGTGGTGCCCATTTGGGATGCTGGCACTGCAGACATTGGCTTTACCCTCTATGCCAGGGGGCTGTCATGTTAATACATGCTGGAATTTGTATCAGAAATATCAACATAACCTTAGAGACGTAAAGTCAAGGGGATCACGTCCATTCTTGGAATAAAAACCGCTGCTGAAATCAATACATATTAGATTACGTTTCATTTCCTCCCCAAAGCAAATTGGTTTATTCCATTTATCATTCACTAAACAAGTATTCATGAAGCACTGAGGACATAGGCGCTGAAGACTTAGTGTGGCCAGACAAGCTGCACAGTCCCCCTACCGCCCAGCTTACACTCAAGCGGGCAAATTCCCATTTAAAAGATTAGTGGAAGGGGTGGTGGTGTTTGGCTTGGAAGATGCATTAAGATGTGTGAGTCCCATATCAGGGTGCCTGGGTTTAGTATTTGCCTCCAGGTACCTGTGACATTGGGAGACAGCAGTGATGATTTAAGTGGTTGGGGTCCTGCCGCCCAAGCAGAAGTCTAGGGTCAAGTTCCCAACTCTCGGCTTTGGCCTTGGCACACGCCAGTCCTGGCCATTGTGGGCATTTGGGAGGTGGATCAGCAGATGTGGGACCTCTCTCCCTGTCTCATAAATAAATTAACAAGCAGATATTTTTAAATGGGGGTGTGTGTTCAGCCAATGGTTAAAACACCAGTTTGGGTCACCTGCATCCCATATTGATGTGCCCGGGCTCAAGTCCCAGCTCCACTCCCAATTCTAGCTTCCTGCTGATGTGAAGCCTGGGAGACAGCAGCTTGTGGCTCAAGTAGTTGGGTTCCTGCATTGAGTCTCAGGCTCTCAGCTCTGAGCCAGCCCAGTACTGGCTGTTGCAGGTATTTAGGGGGAATGAGCCATTGGATGGGAGCTCTGTTCTCTCTCTTTGCTACTCAAAGTTTTCAAAATGGAGATTTATGGTTTCAATCGAGATGGAGTAGCCAGATTTACTCCTACCTGACATAATCAAAGAAGAAAAACTGGGACAACAGACCCTGAACATCAGGCAATGAGAGACAGCGATCCCAGGGGGCAGAGAGCAAACAAGCCAACCTGACTGTCCCACTTACGGCCTGGACACACATTCCAGGCTGGGCTGTGCAGCAAGGGATGGCCCTGGCAGAATCCAGTGGGCTCCGGAGTTCCAGAGGGGGCAAGAACTGTGCAGAGAACCCTGGACATCTGGAGAGAGAAGGGGTCCCCTTCCAGTATTCAAGCGAGCCCTCAGCGAGGAGAGCTGGGAAAAAGCTCTGCCTGAGGATTAGCAGTTACAGTGCCCAGCACCCACCCCAGACTGGGGACAGAATTCATGGGGCCCGGGGGCAGCACTCGGGAACAGCAGCACTGGGGAGCAGTTCACCCCAGACTGAGCACTGTGAAGGACCAGTCTAACAAATTAGAAAACCAAGACCCATGGGATGAAACAGTTTCAAAGTCACTTAGCTGCCTTCCCAAGCAAAGCTAAGGAGGATCTGTAAAAATACACACCCAGCGGCCAGTGCTGCAACGGGGTTAAGTTGCAATGCCGGCATCCATATGCTTTGAATCCAGCTCCCCACTAATGTGCCTGGGAAGGCAGTGGAAGATGGTCCAAATGCTTGGGCCCTGCCACTGATGTAGAGGACCTGGATGAAATTCTGGGCTCCTGGCTTCAGCCTGGCCCGGTCCCAGCAATTGTGGCCATTTGGGGAGTGGGCAAGCAGATGGAAGATCACTTTTTCTTAAGATTTATTTATTTCAAAGAGTTCCAGAGAGAAAGAGAGAGAGAGAGAGAGAGAGAGAGAGAGAGAGAGAGAGAGAGAGAGAGAGAGAAAGTGACATCTTCCATCTGCTGGTTCACTTCCCAAATAGCTGCAACGGCTGGAGCTCGGCTGGAGCTGGGCCGGACTGAAGTCAGGAGCCAGGAGCTTCTTCTGGGTCTCCCACACAGGTGCATGGGCCCAAGCACTTGGGCCATCCTCCGCTGTTCTCCCAGGCAAATTAGCAAGGAGCTGCCAGGACTCCAACTGGCATCCATATGGGGTGCTGGCACTGTAGACAGTGGCTTAACCTGCTACACCATGGCACCGGCTCTGGAAGATCAAATCAATAAATCTTAAATAAAAAACCAACAACGCCAGCGCCGCGGCTCACTAGGCTAATCCTCCGCCTTGCGGCGCTGGCACACTGGGTTCTAGTCCCAGTCGGGGTGCCGGATTCTGTTCCGGTTGCTCCTCTTCCAGGCCAGCTCTCTGCTGTGGCCCGGGAAGGCAGTGGAGGATGGCCCAAGTCTTTGGGCCCTGCACCCCATGGGAGACCAGGATAAGTACCTGGCTCCTGCCTTCGGATCAGCGCGGTGGCCATTGGAGGGTGAACCAACGGCAAAAGGAAGACCTTTCTCTCTGTCTCTCTCTCTGTCCACTCTGCCTGTCAAAAAACAAAACAGAACAAAACAAAACAAAACAAAACAAACAACATATCCAGCTCCCAATAGGATACAGTTCACAATGTTTGGCATCCAAAGATTACAAGATATGTAAAAGAAGGCCAACATAACCCATGTGAGAGCCGGCATCCAGAATTCATAAAGAACCCTCAGACTAAAAAATGAAAAGCCATGTTTTAAAAAACTGGCAGAAGGCTTAGATACTTCAAAATGATATGTGAGTGGCAAATAAATATATGGAAAAATGCTCAATACCACGAGTCTTAGGGAACTGCAGATTAAAACCATTATCGGAGGGGCTGGTGTCGTAGCACAGTTAGTGCCACCTGCAATACTCATATCCCATGGAGGCTGGTTCACGTCCAGGCTGCTCCAATTCCCTGCTAATGTGCCTGGGAAAGCAGCAGAAGATAGTCCAAGTGCTTGGGCCCCTGCCACCCACGTGTGAGACCCACATGAAGCTCCTGGCTTCGACCTGGCTCACGTATCTGGGGAGTGAACCAGCAGACAGAAGGTCACTCTCTCTTTCTCCTTCTCTCTTTAACTCTGCCTTTCAAATAAATAATCTTTTTTTTTTTTTTTTTTTGACAGGCAGAGTGGATAGTGAGAGAGAGACAGAGAGAAAGGTCTTCCTTTGCCGTTGGTTCACCCTCCAATGGCTGCCACAGCTGGCGCGCTGCGGCCTGCGCACCGTGCTGATCCGAAGGCAGGAGGCAGATATTATCCTGGTCTCCCATGGGGTGCAGGGCCCAAGCACTTGGGCCATCCTCCACTGCCTTCCCTGGACACAGCAGAGAGCTGGCCTGGAAGAGGGACAACCGGAAAAGAATCCGGCACCCTGACCGGGACTAGAACCCGGTGTGCCGGCGCCACTAGGTGGAGGATTAGCCTATTGAGCCACGGCACCGGCTCAAATAAATAATCTTAAAATAAATAAATATAATAAAGCCACAATGGAATACCACATCTTTTTTTTTAAAGTTTTTATTTAGTTTATTTGAGAGGTAGAGTTACAGACAATGAGATGGAGAGACAAGAGATAAAGGTCTTCTCTCCATTGGTTCACTCCCCAAATGGCCGCAATGGCTGGAGCTTCGCCAATCTGAAGCAAGGAGCCAGGCACCTCTTCCCAGTCTCCCATGTGGGTGCAGCAGCCCAAGGGCTTGGGCCATCCTCCACTGCTTCCCCAGGCCATAGCAGAGAGCTGGATTGGAAGTGGAGCAGCCAGGACTCGAACCAGTGTCCATATGGGGAGCCGTTGCCACAGGTGGAGGATTAACCTACTACACCACGGTGCTGGCCCCAAGGGATACCACTACATCTTAATACCAAATGCTGAAAAGAACTAGGAAGCTCACATTCTGATGGCAGGAACAGAAAATGGTACAGGTGGGCATACCTTGTGGTGCAGTGGGTTAACCTGCTAGTTGAAATGCTCACATCCCATATCAGAGTGCCAGTGTGAGTCTGGCTGCTCCACTGCTGCTGCTGTTCTTTTTTTTTTTTTTTTTTAAGATTTTATGTATTTATTTATTTACTTGGAAGAGTTATACACACACAGAGATAGAAAGAGAGAGAAACAGAGAGATCTTCCATCCACTGATTCACTCCCCAAATGGCTGCAATGGCTGGGGCTGGGCCAGGTCAAAGCCAGGAGTCAGGAGCTTCTTCTGGATCTCCCATGTGGGTGCAGCAGCCCAAGCACTTAGGCCGTCTTCTACTGCTATCCCAGGCACATTAGCAGGGAGCTGGATTGGAAGTGGAGCAGCCAGGTCTCAAACCGGTGCCCATATGGGATGCCTGCATCTTTACCAGCTATGACAAAAGAGCAGCCCCATTACGCCACTTCTGATCCAGCTTCCTGCTTATGTGCCTGGGAAGCAGCAGATGATGCCTTAAGTATTTGGGCCCCTGTCACCCACATGGGACCTGGATGGAGTTCCTGGCTCCTGGCTTCAGCAGTGCCCAGCCCCAGCTGTTGTAGGCATTTGGGGAATGAACTAGTGGGTGGAAGGTCTTTCTCTTCTTTCTCTGTCACTTTGCTGGAAGGAAAGAAAGAAGGGAGGGCGGGAGGGAGGGAGGAAGGAAGGAGATGGTATAGGTATGGGGGAAAGCAATTCCACAGTTTCCTCAAATGTTCAGCATATAGCCACCATACGGCTCAGCTATTCTGCGTCTAGATATTTACCTTAGAGAAATGAGAGCATATGCCCACACAAAGACTTGTACACAAATGTTCCTAACAGTTTTATTTGTAACAGTCAAAAACTGGAAACTGTCCAAACAGCATCAGTAGGTGAATGGACAAATCAATTCAAGAAAATAGTACTCGGTAGTGAAACACAACGAAACTCTTGACACATGGGATGCCTCTCAAAATAACTACACAGAGTGGAGTACGCCTGCCAGGAAAAGAGCACATATTACTGCATGATCGATTCACGTACGGTTGTAGGAGATGCACACTCACGTGCAGGGACAGAAAGCTGAGCAGCGGTTGCCTGGGGAAGGCGGGTGGCCGGGAGGGATAACGAAGGGGCCTGGGGACACGTGGAGGAGATGCAGAGGTCACGGCCTGGATGGCAGCGAGGGTTTCCCTGGGCACTGCACTCTTGCAGCGTGGGCGGTCTGCTGTCTGTCGAGTAGACCTCAGTGAGGCTGCACGTATCCATGGGCTCTACAGCCCCGAGCGTCTGGCGGCAGTACGCCATTATCTTCATCTTTATCAGCTACACATTTGGTAAAATGACTTTAGAACTTTAATTTTAGAATTCCAACAAGGAAACCAAATGGCCTCAGAATCAGCTTACAGAAACACAATATTGTCTACAGCAGGCAAGCAAGAGCAGGGTCTTCTGACTCACAGGTGAACCAAGTCGGGCCGAGTTGCCCACAATGAGTACAGCCACCTGCAGTCAGCCACTTGGCATCTGCTGTGCCCCTCTCTCCTGCACACCGCCCTGGCTTCCAGCCGCGGCACCCTCAGCCTCGGACACCTGCATGGCTGTCCCCAGGTGCTCCCCAAGCTCCTCTATGAGAGGCCTGCCCCCTCCAGGAGCCCGGCGAGAGGCAAGAGGCTTCAGCTGGCCAACGTCAGACTGCTGCGTGGCCGGGTTTCTGCACACCCCACCACTAGCAAGAAGCAGGGTGCTGCTCTGTTCGAGAAAGGGGCCTTCCAAAGAATTCCCCGACTCGGAGGGACCACCTTTGTGCTCCTCGGGTTCTGAAGCGGAGCCTTCGGTTTCCGACGACACAGTGCTGCTGGCCTCTGACCCCTCCGATTCCGACTCCTCGGCATCGCCTGCCTCTGGGCTGGAGCAAAGTGGCTGCTGCCCGGGAACAGAGGGGGCTGCCTGGCACGCGGCTTCTTCCCTCTGGACAAGCAGTGCTGCTGCTTCTAGCTCTTCCAGTTCTAGTCCCAGCTGCGCCTTTGTCAGGGAGACTTCCTTTAAGGCTTCTGCGAGAGCTGCCAACTTTTTGGACCTCGAGAAACGTTTTAAGAAGAAATATTAGGGCTCTTCGTTCACTGGCTGGGGGACAACAGGGTATGTGCTTTAAAAAAAGTAACAAAATAAGGCTGAACCCATACTTCACAAGGCATACCAGGACCAACCCCTGAACAGATCAAAGACACATATGTAAAACATAAAGCAATAAAATATTATGGGGAAACAGAGATTCCTGCATGACCTCAGGATGAGGAAGGCCTTTCTAACGCTGATTCAAAACACAGGAGTCACAAAAGAAAAACACTGGCAATTTATTTCACAGACCAGGGCCTAACTCCCCTGAGTCTCTAAAAATGGCTACCACCCGACAGAAGGATAGGCTAAAGATACAGGTGGACAATTCTCATGACAGGACATAGAAATGACTCCTAAATCTATGAAAAGAGATTCCAACTTCAGTCCAACAGGAGAAAGACAACATCATACTGAGATCTCAAGTTCATCTGTAGACTGACAGCTGTCCAGACACTTGACGGCATTCTGTTAGCGAGGCTGTGAGGGCAACGGTGCTTGCTTTCACACCCTGCGGGGGTAGGTTCCATAGCTACGGTCCCCACAAAGGAGAACTTAGCAGTGACTTTCAGCATTCAGAATGTACAGATCCTTGAACCAGCAAGCCCATGTCTGGAAATTAAACACACGGAGCACATATGCTGCATGAGACAGGCCTGCACTTTTCTGTAACAACACTGTCTTTAATACCCCAACTGGGAAGCAACCAAATGCCCTGGATATAGGACTAGCTATTAAATAAGCCAAGGCACAGCCACAGGAAGTGACAGCCTGTAGCTGGTTATGCAGGAACGTGGCTCTTCATGGGCCGGTCCAGATATACTGTTTTAACAACAACTGCAAAAGGCACATGAAATAGAAAGACAGAGAGACAGAGAGAGGCAGAACAAAAGAAAAGAGCAAAGATATAAGAACATATACTTGTATTTGCTTGTATACTTAATAAATGATGGAAAGCAACAAAAAACGATAACTTAGGGGGTAGGTGTTGGATGGGACCTGGAAGGATGGGGGATGACGGAGGATGAAGGTGAGAGGAGATTTTTCACTGCTGTTTTATTTTCAGCCCCACATAAATGCAATATCTGTTCACCACCTAACTATGTACAAAAAGAAAAAAGAGCCGTATCAGACAGCAGCCTATAATATGGCTGTTCTGTCTAATCAGATGGCCTTTTATATGATTTCAGACGGCTGTTTTTCTTCTCTAAGTTACCCACTAGACTTAATAATACTACATTGTGTAGGATAGGTAATTTATTCATTATTACCTTGGATGCACTTAATTGTTTTTTGTTTTTTAAAGAACCAACATAAAAGCTGCTGGCATCCCACAGGCACTGGTTCAAGTCCCAGCTGCTCTTCTTCGAATCCAGCTCCCTGCTAATGCACCTGGGAAAGCAGCAGAAGACGGCTTAAGAGCTTGGGCCCCTGTACCCCCACGGGAGACTTGGAAGAAGCTCCTAGCTCCTGGCTTCGGCATGGCCCAGCTCCAGCCGTTGCGGCCATTTGGGGAGTGAACCAGTGGATGGAAGATCTCTGTGTCTGTCTCTCTCCCTCTCTGTAACTATGTTCAAATAAATAAATAAATAATTTTTTTTTTTTTTAAATAAACCAACATAGCACACACTGCAGTTTTCCCAGGACCATCTTTTTGACAACTGAAAAGCAAGTGCAAATGGTGAGCTGCTGACAAGGTTCCTACCTTTCTCTACCTCCAAAGACTACCAAACATGGAGTGGCTTTGAGACAAGCCCAGTGATAAACTCGTGTACAAGTATAGTCCATCCCCCAACAGCAGGAAGATGAGGCTCCACTGAGAGAGAGCTGATGTTAACAGAAGGTGCAACTGGAAATCCTGAACAAAGACAGTTTCTCAGACCTGTCATTCTCAAAGTAATTAGCACAATGTGAGCTTGTGCAGGGACATGCCTTCCCCAACCCTGCTGTCCCTTCACAGGGCACGGTGTCATCAGGCCAAGGACGCACCCTGCATGTCCAAAGGGGAGTGGGGGGGGGGGAGGCACCGTAAGGTAAATGGGACAAGAGCGGCAGCCACCATGAAGGACTTTCAGCAAGGAAAGCCCTGGACTTCACTGCTGGAATTCCCAAAGAGCTTAGAAAAGCGGAGTGGAACAGTTGGTTAAGCCACCACTTGCAACACGGGCATCTCACACTGGAGCTCTGGTTTGAGTCCAGCTGCTTGGTTTCTGCTTCTGAGCCAGCTCCCTACTAATGCACCTGGGAAAGCCATAGATGATGGTCCAAGAGCTTGGGCCCCTGCCACCCATGTAACAGAACTCCTAGATGGAGTTCTGGGCTTCTGGCTTTGGCCTACACCAGCCCTGGCTGTTGTGGCCATTCGTGGAGGAACCAGAGGGTAGAAGATCTCTCTGTCACCCTGCTTTTCAAAGAAATCTTTAAAAAGAAGCATGGGAGGGAGGGATGGAAGGAGGGACAGAGCGGGAGATGGCTAAGGTAAAGAGGAGAACCAAGGTAAGGTCAGCTGAAATCAGCTACTGATTCACCAAAAGGCTCTAAACCATGGTTGCCATTTTTATTAGTTTGAGACATTTTTAAAAGCATAGTAATGTTGTAAGATGGCTATGATACAATTACATTCACGTATGAGATACTGTGGACAATGTCCACCATATATTGCGAAACCTCGACCACCCCTGGTAAAGGGCTCCATCAGAGCTGGTGGACCAGGGTAGCACATCTCTGGTCCAAGTCTCAGTAAGACTGGGAACTGGTTTCCCACAGTATTTCTCAATGAGGCGGAGTTCTCTCTGGCTAGTGACTTGGACTTAAGGGATAAAGATGGATGAACTTGGGAGATAAACAAGTGCCTCTTACTAAGCTACGATGTTAGAAATGAAAAGTTAAGAGCAGTGGCTTTACTGACCGTACAAGCCACTTCAACCGTTTCTTCTAAAGAGGATGCAGACCACCACAAGGAGGACGAACATCACTGCACTTGCTCCCCACGCCCACCCCCTCCTGAAGCTGCTTCCTTATTGTCCTGTGTTCCCAGTGAGCTGAAGGTCACCCCACTAAGGGGCAGTCAGGACTGGCAGCCCACACAATGCCAGAGCTCCTCCCACCGCACCACAGGGCCTCCCGTGAGCACGCAGGCTCTGAAGTCCCCTTCTTTAGGACTGCACTCTGTTTCTTCCCAAGCTCAGCTCTGCTCAGCCTCCTCCAACTGAGCCAACCTGTACAGGGCGCAGAATTCCTAAAGAAATTCTGACTAACATCTCTAAGTTTAGCACCATTAAATGAATCCATACAATTCCAACTGTTGTTGGGGGGAGGTGCATATGAATTATTTTTAAAATGTTCCTGACTGTTATATATGTGAATTCTCATGTTGACATGGTTTGGATTGTCATTATTGTGCATTATGTGAATGCTACACGCTAAGTGTCCTTTATAACAGTATAACTTTGAGACTTTAAAGTTCCTCACTAGAGGCTAGCATTGTGGCCTGGTGGGTAGAGCTGCCATCTGTGATGCCGGCATCCCACATGGGTGCTGGTTTGTGCCCCGGCTGTTCCATTTCCGATCTAGTTCCCTACTAATGGCCTGAGAAAAGCAGTGTAAGATGGCTCAAATACTTGGGCCCCTGCCACCCATATGGGAAACCTGGATGAAGCTCCTGAAGTCTGGCTTTGACTTGTCCCAGCACTGGCTGTTGAGGCCATTTGGGGAATGAACCAGTGGATGGAAGACCTCGCTCTCTGTCTCACCCTCCCTCTCTCTCTGCAACTCTTTTTTTTTTTTTTTAAAGATTTATTTTATTTATTTGAAAGACAGAGTTATAGAAAGAGGTAGAGACAGAGAGAGAGGTCTTCCATCCACTGGTTCACTCCTCAGATGGCCACAACGGCCGGAGCTGAGTCAATTCAAAGCAAGGAACCAGGAGCTTCTTCTGGGTCTCCCAGGTGGGTGCAGGGGCACAAGGACTTGGGCCATTTTCCACTGTGTTCCTAAGCCATAGCAGAGACCTGGATCGGAAGTGGAGCAGCCAGGACTCAAACCGGTGCCCATACGGGATGCCGGGATGCCGGTGCTTCAGGCCAGGACTTTAACCTCAGCTATAATCCACGCTTTTTTCAGAGCTACAAGTGTAAACTGAAATAGGCAGGAGAGTGGCAGGAACAGGCCTTGTGACCCAACAAGAGAACCAGCTGATATGAATGTCTAGCCTCTAGGCAACAGCTTATCTCTCCCTACTCCCCCTCTGCTTTTAAAGATTTTTTAAATTTGAAATGCAGAGAGACAGGGGACACACACATACACACACACAATCTTCCACGCCCTGGTTCACTCCCCAAATGGCCAAAGCAGCTGGAACTGGGCCAGGCTGAAGCTAGGAGCCAGGAACTCTATCTGGGTCTCTCATGTGGGTTGCGGAACTCAAGTACTTGAGTCAACATCCACTGCTTCCCAGGAGCATTAGCAGGGAGCAGAACTGGAAGCGGCGTAGCTAGGACTTGAACTGGCACTCTGATACGGGAGGTGGGTGTCCCAAGCAGCAGCTTGATCCACTGCACCACAAAGCTCACCCCTTATCTCTCACTTTCAGCATTATGGTAAGTTTACAGTGACCATTTTATACAGGAAATAAAAAAAGAAAGAATTCTGTGTCCACTTTTGATCCTTCATTGTCCAAACCAGTTCATTTTACTTCTTCTAACCCCACATTTACTTCCTCAGACTGGCTAGTTTCCCAAATTAATATTAAAGTTCTCATAGGAACTCTAAATTTACACAAGCAACATTCTGAACTCTAATCCTAAGAAAGGGTACAAAGTGACTGAACTTTCAAAATAGCGTTGCTGTGCAAAGTGTGTCTGAGGAATGCAAGTTAGGCTTGTTTTTATCTGATTATTTTATGTAGACAACATTATCATTATTCACAAAAAAACAAAAATTATTCCTTTGGGGGGAAAAAAA